ATATTAGTACTCTATATAAGTACAGTATAAACATAGAAATTGATCATATCTGAAATTTGCATATACCTTCACTTTTTTATAATACTGTGGTATGTGTTACTGATGTCGACAGATATAAGTAATATATATCGTGAATCGAAAGTGAAGTACCTGGAGGCCGAAAGTTAAGATCAAAGAAAAGAGAACGATTGGTATGGAAACAAAAGAACAATGAAGTCTGAGACGATTGATTAACATTTTTCAAATAAAGAATTTACTATATGATTCTCAGATTTTACTAAGAGATTCGGTAATGTTGTATTCAAATACATTTGATTGTCCTCATTGGTATTCTTATTCAATACAATACTACTAACTATATTCAATCTAATCATTAATGAACAACAAATACTGTGTACTTTTATTATCACTCATTACAACTATATGATTAGAAGTTGTCTTATCCTGCTCAGTGGTCTAATTGTTAAGTGCTCGCACGCGAGATTGGTAGATTCTGGGTTCGAATCCCGCAAAGGGGGGATCGTGGATGTGCACTACCACAGATGAGTCCCATACTAGGACGAAACAGTCGTCGAGTGCTTCCAGGTTTCACATAGTGGTCTAGCTTTAATTGATTTATGAATTCAACTATTCATTATTAAACAATAAACACTACGTACTTTCATTATCATTCATCACAACTATGTGATCATTAATTGCCTTATCCATTACCGTAAAAGGAAATTGTCTTCTCAATATCACATTAATTAACCGAGTTCATCATATGATCATTAAAAACAAAAAAAAAGTTAATATAAATTACTGATTATTTAAGGATATGCATTATACTATTTATATCACTATCACATGAGTTATCATTGTACATTATGCGTGTATTTGTTATTACAATTTTAGTACAAAAGAAAAAGAGATCAACTTCATAGTACAATAACACTGTACTTCATTACAAATCAAACTGTAATTTTGATAATAAAAAAAAGTAATATTATAGTGAACGAGAATGTTACAAGTGGATAGGACCATACAATGAAGAAATCACCCTCAAATGCCCTTGTACGACCGCGAGTGGGGAGAGTCCGCTCTCCCTCTCGAGATGCTCTCACATGGCTACGCGTATATAGCCTCTGCCAGGGAAGTCCTACTTACTACCTCCTCGTGGAGGGGGTGTTGTTTACGAAAATGGGAGGACGAAAAGCGAATATCCGGTGCTTTAACCGGATTCCAAACCAATGGTGTACATGGGCTTCAATATCCTGCGGGAACAAATGGCGTATGAACTAATCGTTGGTCACCGGCTACCATGGGACTACATCTCCTTACGACGCTTCACTGCCTTGTGGATCATATCTTTAGGTCGAAAGCTCCTGATATGGCTCCCTAAGAAAACTACCCACTTCGGTTTAGACACCCGGGCAGTATCACAGCCCTCACACAATACGAATGAGATTTGTGTGGCGCATATGTATTTGGTACTTCCTTGTACCAATATATGTGTTAAAATAAAATAAACAATTGAAGAAATCAATAAACCTTATCATGAGACAAGACGTAACTTGGAATTTTGAAGGGAAATAGTAAACAGGAAGGCCAAAGAACACATTATGTCAGGAAATAGAAGTAGATATGAAAAGGATGAATAACAGCTGGAAAGGATTGCCCAGGACAGAGTTGGATAGTGAATGGTTTTAGTTAACATATGCTCCTCTATGAGGAGTAATAGGCGCAAATAAGTAAGTAAGAACGAGAACACAAGTAGGTACAATCAAATGTACTCAAATACACAATTACATAATTTCTTAGTAAAATCTGAGAACTATATAGTAAATACTTTATTTGCAGAATGTTTATAAATTGTCTCAGATTTTATTGTTCCTTCGTCTCTATACCAATCACTCTCTGTTTGAGTTCTCTTCTTCTCGATCTTCTACCGTCAGGCATTCTACTTTCGATTGATTAGTGATACATACTACTTATATCTGTCGATATCAGTAGCACATATCATTCATTCATGAAACTCAGGAATCATTTCGATTTCCAAAACTGTTTTACTTTTTACAATTCCTACTTTACCTTGAAAGGATTTAACATTCAATTTATTTCGAAGGTTTATTTAGTTGGGTAATCAAGTTAATAAGTAACATTTATTGGTAAATCATATTATTTTAATAGTTGAATTCATGAGTCAATTAAAGCTAGACCACTATGGAAAACCTGGAGGTACTGGATGGCCATCTCATCCTAGTATTGAATTCCTCTGTGATAGTGCACATCCACGATCCCGCCCCCCCCCGCGAGATTCGAACCCAGGATCTATCAGTTTCGCGCTCGAACGCTAAACCTTTAGACCATTGAGCTGGCCGGTATCCAACGGTGTTAATATCTCTGATTAAAATCATATTATATTTACTTTGAAACATATGAAAATATACTAGAGACGGTCTGACAGATGAAGTCAATGATCTCATCATGAAAACAAGAATGGTTTATATCAATCTAAGCCATCATCTACTCTGTTGTGATGTTAATTTGACTGTTAAAGCCCATAGTGTCATCGAAGAAGAAAGCGAAAAAAGAAAATGTTCTTTTCGACAATTTCATTTACTTAAGCTATATAACCGTAATCGAAAATCTTATATTGAGAGTAAGTTATATAATAGTCGGCTAGTGAAAAAGTAGTAAGATGATCGATCGGCTATTAAGAACAGAGTTACTAAAAGTTTTAATCACTGATAATTGGTAGTTGTGAAGATAACTGGAAAAGAGTAGAAATAATAGAATAAAAACGGTAGATTATGCAATATAGAAAGGAAGGTTAAGATCATAGAAGAATGACGAACTGAAAATACTGGTTTTGTATGCAAAAGTTAGGCTTAAACTAGTGGATAGAAATAGCTAATGGTGTACATAAGTTTTTCATTCGCATTCCTATTAAACTGAATCTTCTAATTGTATGTATGATATTCAAGGAGGTTTCTGCTGAAGCGAAGTGGATGTAATTGACCGGATGCTGAAAAATTGAGCTATTAACTGACGTCTGTAATCTTTTTGACAACCAGGCTGGGTAATGTTCGGGGATGCATTTCGAAAGAGGTATAATTTAAAATGCGTCACTGAGAGTATTTCCATTGCGTGCTTGTGAAAAATGTGGATTCCTCTAAGTTGAGAATGTTTGTCAACTAGCTACTTCGAACCTAAAACTTTCAGACCTGAAAATGAGTACTTAATCTTTAGACCACTATCTTGGAATCCGATAGTTTACAGGAAATTGTATTCCGATATAATATAAACAACCATTTCACACAATAGTAAATATGGAATTTACGTAAGCATTCAATACTATAATACAATACAGTCACCTAATACACTAATCAATTTGAAAGATATAACAATAGTGATTTCAAATACATTTCCAAATCACTGATTATAAATATCCAACAACACAGATAATATACATGAAAGCAACGGTTTCACTATAATTCACATTAAGAATAATTCAATACAGTATTGATTAACTGGATTGGTGGATACGAAAGATCCACAAAGGGGAGTTGGAAAACCCTGATTCCAAACCAATGATGCACATGGACTCCAGTATCCTAAGAAAACAAATGATGTATGAACGTATTGTTGGTAACCGGTTAACATGAAACTGCATCTCCTCACGTTGCTCCATTGTTTTATGGATCATACCTTTAGGTCGAAGGCTCTAGGTGTGGCCCCCTAAGAAAACTACGAGCTTCGGTTTGGGCACCCGGGCAGTATCCCAGCTCACACCCAAATCGAGTGAACTGTGTGGCGCATATGTATTCGATGCCCCTTCGTAACAATATTTATATGCTCGAATAAACAAAAGCTCAAAGGTGTAGGTAAAATGTTTTACAATGAATACTTATAGATTTTATCAGCCCCGATCAGCGGTTGGTGACTTCGCTCAGAATCGATTACAGTTGCTCGGAGACACTCACCTTTTTCTTAATAAAGGTCTTAAGTTCCAGTATCCTTTCATTCATACGTTTTCATTCCGTCTTCTCAAATCCTAGTCTCAGTGCTTAGTTAACATTTCTAGCACAATTATTCCGACTCTTTCGCTACTCAAATTTAACACTACCGAGTATTTCACTGAGGTCCCCAAATGGAATAAGTCAGACAACCACTATGAACCAGGATTCAGCCTCCGGTTGCGCACCGCCGACGAGTCCCGTGCTAGGACGAAGCAGACATCCAAAGTTATCAGATCTTTGATGGTTGACTTAGATTGGTTCATGAACACAACGAAACCCAACAACCTCCTCGGGCCGTATGGGTAGTCACTGAGTATGCCTCACTACTATTGATATCTTAAACAACAAGTAATCAGTTAACATTGCCATACTCCTATTAACAAAAATTGAGAAATATTACAGAAACAATAATCATGTCTTTACTGTGGCTTAAGTCAGAAGACCACAACCTATTCTATCAACGTTGAATGCGGTTTGGCTAATTGAGGACAGCAAACATACAAAAACTGAAAGACATGTTAAGTAAGTGAAAACACTGTCGAGTTTAATGCCGAACGCTGGATAGGCCACCAATGAACTGAATATAGGTAAAAGTCATAACAAGACATGCGAGTCAACTTCGATTTTGATGAGCGTCTCGAAAGTAGGGTATCATAATTACGCAACACGCGAGTTCTTGAATCCAAATAGCTGGATGCTATAAGATACGGAGTGCAAGAAAAACCCTAACTAGCTTAAGTATGACAAGTCCAAAAGTGTTTAGTCCGTAGCACTACCAAATGACTTTTGAGTCTACTGAGGAACACAACGAAACCCCTAATATCCCTTATTTCAATCCACATTCAGCAGTACCTCTGTACCCAGTGAATATGGTTTAAGCAACTTAATCAAAAAGTGCATATTAAGCCCTAGTCCTATCAACAGTTTGAATGCTAAACAGAGAAAACCCAACAGCACTGACTGGGGTTAGTCATAATGTCAAACGAAAAAATCACAAGTAATTATAAGATAAGTATATTAGGAACGAATAACAACCAAAAACATAACAATCCAAAGAAGTGAGACCTAATACTCTTCACCTTCTCCTTCACCCTCACCGTCAACGCTGTCAACACCGACCTCCTCGTAATCTTTCTCAAGTGCGGCCAGATCTTCACGGGCTTCAGAGAATTCACCTTCTTCCATACCCTCACCAACATACCAGTGTACAAATGCACGTTTTGCATACATCAAATCAAACTTATGATCTAGACGCGCCCAAGCTTCGGCTATCGCGGTTGTATTACTCAACATACAGACGGCACGTTGCACTTTTGCCAAATCACCGCCAGGAACAACTGTTGGTGGTTGGTAGTTTATGCCTACCTTGAAACCTGTCGGACACCAATCCACAAACTGGATAGTACGTTTAGTCTTTATTGTTGCTATAGCAGCATTTACATCCTTAGGGACAACGTCCCCACGATATAACATACAGCACGCCATATATTTGCCGTGACGAGGGTCACACTTCACCATTTGATTTGCTGGTTCGAAGCAGGCATTTGTGATTTCTGCAACACTTAACTGCTCGTGGTAAGCCTTTTCAGCTGAAATCACTGGTGCATAGGTAGCCAACGGGAAGTGGATACGAGGATAAGGGACCAGATTTGTTTGGAATTCCGTCAAATCCACATTTAGCGCGCCATCGAAGCGCAGTGATGCAGTAATGGAACTTACTATCTGACCAATTAGACGATTTAAATTTGTGTAGGTTGGACGCTCTATATCTAGATTTCGTCTAAAAAAATGTTGATTCACTGAAACAGCAACTTACCGACAAATATCATAAATGGCCTCGTTGTCAACCATGAAAGCACAATCAGAATGTTCCAATGTTGTATGTGTAGTCAAAATGGAATTGTATGGTTCAACTACAGCTGTAGCAATCTGTGGTGCAGGATACACAGCGAACTCCAACTTCGATTTTTTGCCATAATCCACACTCAAACGTTCCATCAATAAAGATGTGAACCCGGAACCAGTGCCACCGCCAAATGAATGGAAAATCAAAAACCCTTGAAGTCCAGTACACTGGTCAGCCAACTTGCGAATACGATCCAAAACTAAGTCCACTATTTCCTTCCCAATTGTATAATGACCGCGAGCATAATTATTAGCAGCATCCTCCTTACCAGTAATTAATTGCTCTGGATGAAAAAGTTGACGATAAGTTCCAGTTCGCACTTCATCGACTACAGTTGGTTCTAAATCTACGAAAACAGCTCGTGGTACATGTTTTCCAGCTCCTGTCTCACTGAAGAATGTATTGAACGAGTCATCACCACCTCCAATAGTTTTATCACTTGGCATCTGCCCATCAGGTTGAATACCATGTTCTAAACAATACAACTCCCAACAAGCATTTCCCATTTGTACACCAGCTTGACCAACATGTACACTGATACATTCACGCTGTAATACATAAATTAAAATGCTATTCAATTACTTACCATTTTGTCAAATTTCAGAAATAATAAAGCAAAGATACACACAACACAACGAAAATTTGAAATGAATCTAACAAATATGGCTGCCTTCTGTGTTATATATAGTTTATTGAACATCCATTATCGAAATCCTATTGGTTAATTACTAACATGACTTTACGTTGATTGGTTAATTTGTTGTTCTAGAGAATTCTATATTCTTTCATTAGACTGGAATGAATCATAGAAATTTATATTGTTTGCCAATTTCAAAGTTGGTAGTGAAAAATGGAAAAAATCAAGTCATCTTATTTTGAGCCTGTTTTAGACATCATAACCACTGAAATTTCATTTCAATCCCATAGATTAATATTCTCATGAAATAACCTGAAAACAAGAATTGACAACTATAGAAAAAGATCATTTGACCTTATATAAATGAACCATTTTAAGACCTTTGAACTTATCATTATCTCTTTATTAAATGCTAAAATTGACTAATACCCGGTAGATTTGAAAATTATAATTTTTCAGTTCTGTAGAAGTGTGCTACTGGATCTTTATTTTCACTGATTGAAATCATGAGTCAATTGAAGCTAGACCAACCATGGAAAAGCTGGAAGCACTGGACAGCCGTTTCGTCCTAGTATGGTACTCCTCAACAATGCTCATCCATGACTCCGCACCCCGCGATATTCGAACCCAGGATCTATCAGTGTCGCGCCAGGCGCTTAACCAACTAGACCACTGACTTGAAAGTTAGTTATAATCAGTATAAATCATAGCACAAATAGGGCATCGACTTAAGTAACGATTGTAATACATCAATACAATAAGAGAGGAATTTAAGATGAAAGTCAAAAGAGTTGTTTTCATGACTTGCAACACCGCTACTATCAAAGGCTTTTGCGCGTTACGGTCACTTCATCGAGCATTCAAATGCTTTGACAAAGAAATGTTTAGAATTTTATATTCTACCTATGTAAGACCACACTTAGAGTATTGTATTCAAGCAGATAGCCCATGTCTGATAAAGGATACTAACTCACTTGAGCGTGTTCAGTGTGTGGGAACAAAATTAGTGGAGGGTCTTTCTAAACTCCTTTACGATGAGTGCTTAAAACGCCTAAATCTTTTTCCCTTGTCGTATCTTAGGACACGAGGTGACCGTATACTGGTATCTCGTATCTTTAATTATGACTTGGGTGTCAACATGTCTTATCTTTTTGCTCCCTTCAGCACTAATAATCTCCGCGGTCATAACAAGAAGGTTCATAAACCGTGATCTAATAAACTTAAAGTGGGGTCCCATTTTTCTCATCGAGCAATCAATGACTGGGATGCCTTACCCAAACAAGTGATATCAGCCCCATCAATGAATATTTTCAAGGAGAAACTGAACCTTCATTGGAAGGCAATCTGTCAGGATTAACACAGGTTCACCAACCTACTATCCTTATTACTGAAGACTGAAGTTGAAATAGTAAAAATACTAGTGCAAATGATAGTGAGAAACTAAACAATGCAAAATATAATTAGCAATATGTCAATGAAATCGTTGGATGAAATATTAGAGTATCAATACTCAAAATCTTAAGGAAGATAATAAATACATAAATCTAAACTAATGTTACCTGTTTTAAACAATGTCACTTAAGTTTCACAATCATACATTACCGTCAGCTTGTATAGTTTAATCATTAAATTTACATCTTCCGACATGGAATACTTTATAGACTTAAACTATGTCTTACATTAACCTTTTTTCAACCTATTCTTATGCTAAATGTTATTACAAGTACATGTCTCGCCCACTTCGATCAATGAGATTCATAACTTCATAAATCAATCTATCTATCATGTTTGTCTTCTATCCCTTGTTGAGATCACCTGTAATAACATTTTCAACTGAGGGAAGAGAGATGGAGCCATTTCACGCGTTCGCGCGCGAGACTGAAGGCCCTGGGTTCGAATCCCGCGAGGCGGGATCGTGGATGCGCACTAATGAGGAGTCCCACAATAGGACGAAAAGACCGTCCAGTGCATCCAGGTTTTCCCATGGTGGTCTAACATCAATCGGTTCATGATCTCAATCAGAAAAAACTATTTAATTGAATCCATAATAGTCTTCACATATCCTGTAGATAATGTGAAGTCATTGGAGTAGAGATGAATCAAAATTTAAGATCTGTCATTTTAATACAGTAGAATAGCTTGATTACATTGTGATTTAACAATAACATCAACGATGAAGTGTTTTTAAAACAATTATTCAGTGAGAAATTAATGCTTAGAACTTTAAAATGACCTGAAGAAATTATCTGAATAGTCCCAGACTTGGTAGTTTGCTGATATTGGTCATCAAGGTACAGTTACATACGTGATGAATAACATTGAGCTACCAACTGTCCAGACACACAATGACTTAGTAGTCATCGTTGACCAAGACTTAAAAACTACTGTACACTACCTTATGATCAATACGTAGGGCCTCTTATTCGTGTCGATGCTAAAACATTTTTGACTTGATATACAGTGTTCATCCGTCCAAAATTTGAGTACTGCATACAAGAGACCAGCCACCGCTTAAAAAAAGACAGTGAGCTTTTGGAAAAGATTCAGAGAACAACAACTAAGCTGATTCCCTGAATGGCGAAGCTCTTGTGTGATGCTTGACTGGCTAAGCTAAGCTTATTCACATTGTCATATCGAAGAACTAGAGGTGGCTTGATTACAGTTTTCGGATTATTTAGTGATAAATCTGCACCTGAGATGCCCTCATTTCTCTTGTCTTCCAAAACAGAGAATTTCCGGGCAAACTCCAAAAACGTTCGTAAGCCCAGAACAAATTACTTGTCAGATGACTATCGACTTTCCCATCAACGAGTGGAATTCATTACCTTGTTGTGCGGCGTCGAGTCGCGGCTGACTATGATCACCACTACAGGAAGACTACGTGCCAGTTACATGATAAGGTCCCTAGTAGGCCAAATATCAGAAGGCAGTTGATGGCTGTAGTCGAGATGTATTTGTTGGCGATCTCGTGGTATCGAAAGAATATCAGGATCGTGCCAAGTGAGTACAAGTGGAACTACTGAGCAAACGTAAGTTCGTGCAAGGTCACAATCAACGGAAGAATGTATATTCTTAGTACAGTTAAACAAACAAGTACAGTAAAACAATCCCTGGTACAACTGGTCATAATAATAATTGTTTCGATTATACCAATCGCGTTCTGTTAATAAAAGTAGGTCACTACAACCTCAACACATTATTGAAGCTCCATCTATCGACTCCTCCAAAAGAAAGTTGGGTCAACTGGGAGACCATCATTGCCAGGACTAATTCAGGTCATCAGGTATCCTATCCTTTCCAAAATGAAACTGAAACTGATAATAATATTATGTGAAATGAAAATAAACTTAAAATATTGGATACTTTAAAACGGAGACAATGTGTTCACGCCCAAACAAAAATACACCTATTCCGGTCGATTATGACTAATGAAATAAACATATGAATAAAAGTCAATCTATTTATTGGTAAACACAAAGGTCTTAATTTATTGTTTACAATTAATATGAATATATATATATGAATGGACATACCAGATTACTACTACTGTTTCAACAAGAAATACTAGCGAATAAAAAAGAAAGAAGTTTAAAAAGGGAATGGACAACTACTGACCAAAGTCTGAAGCTATCCTGAGCTCCCAATTTTGGGGAAGCCGCTATAGTAAACTTTGGAGAAATGGCACTAAAACCCCGAAATTTCCGCAGACCTGGGGAAATTCCCCAATATTTCCCCGAAATTCCCCTTTAACTTTGGTCAAGGTCATTTGAATTTGAGGATTCCCCCAAAGTTTCCCCCAAACACTGGTGAAGGTCACTTGACTTCGGGAGTTTTCCCAAAATACCCCAAATTTCCCCAAACTTGGGAGCTCGGGATGATGGATAACGCGAGTTAAAATCCATCAGGGAGCAAAAGCCCCCTAAATATTCAAGAGACGATCTGTTGATCAATGTAACCAACACGACAAACTAGGTCATATAGGGTATTTTGTCGACTAACTCCATGCATCTGACGACCTTTCTGTCATTTACATTTTTATTTCAATGAATCAAATAATAATCAAACAGGCTAGGACTATTACTTTTGTGTGAGTAGTACATATTGATCTTTACAGAAAATCTAGATGTTTTCAAAAATTCTCTTTTAACGATGTAACTTACAATATGATCATAGTTTGACGAAAAAATTTGTTTGAAATGAAGGCCATTAAAGAATTAGGTATGTGGGAACATTTTGAATGGTTTTCAGTTTTGAGATGGTGGAAACTATTTATAGCTCACATGGATGATTTATGTAAACTTTTGTTCTCTGATAGTTCCATGACCAAACTATCAATTCTCTAAATGCCCTGGTACGGCCAAAGGGAGAAAGTCTTTTCTTTCTCTTGAAGTGCTTTCACTTGGCCACACGTATACAACTTCTGCCAGGAAAGTTCTACTCATTGCCTTCTCGCAATAGGGGTGTTGTTTACGAAATTGAGAGGATGGCAAGCGAATGTCTGACACTTTAACCAGGTTGGTGTAAACATGGGGTCCACCTACGGGAGTTGGGAAACCCTAATTCTAAATCAGTGATGCACATGTGCTACCAGGATCCTAAGGGAACAAATGGCGTATGAACTAATCTTTGGTCACCGACTACATTGGGACTGCATCTCGTGACGTTGCTCCACTGCCTTATGGTTCAGACTTTAGGCCGAAGGCTCGGGGTGTGAACCCCTAGTAAAACCACCTGTTGCGATCTGGGCACTCGAGCAGTATCACAACCTACACACAAATCACTTGATTTGTATAACACATATGGATTCAACTTACGTGCGATTAAGATGTATTCATCAAATTTTACCGAATTAACCACTAATCCAGTGATCTGAACAAAATAAATGAAATGACTGATAAATCACCGAACCGGTTAAAGCGTCGGATGTTCGCTTTTCGTCCTCTCAATTTTGTAAACAACACCCAGGGCACAAGAAGGCAGTGATTAGGAACGTTAAGAAGATTGAAGAAGAGAGAACG